AGCTGAGGTGGCTGACATTGGGAAATCCTACCAGTGGCTGGAAAGGGCTGGACTAAAAGCAGCACAAGTACAGGCACTAAGCACCAGATCCATAGAAGCAGGGGTCTACCAAGGTGCAGATTGTGCAGAGAGGCCTCAGAGACAGTCCCACGTATAGTGTCAGGGTGTAAGATGCAGACAGGAACAGCATTCACTGAATGGCACGACCAAGTAGCTGGTATTGTCTACAGGAACATCTGCATAGTGTATGGACTAGACTTTCCCAAATCCAGATGGGAGATTCCACAGAAGGTCATGGAGAATAACAGGGCTAAGATCCTGTGGGACTTCCAGATCCAGATGGACAGGCAAGTACTGGCCAATCAAGCAAACGTCATGGTGGTAGACAAGGACCAGAAGATAGCAGTGGTGATAGATGTAGCGGTGCAAAGTGACAGCAACATCAGGAAGAAGGAGTATGAGAAGCTGAAGAACTACCAAGGCCTGAAGGAGGAACTAGAGACAATGTGGAAAGTAAAGGCCAAAGTGGTCCCAGTGGTGGTAGGAGCATTCGGGGCCGTGACCCCTAGGCTGGGAGAATGGCTCCAACAGATCCCAGGAACAACATCAGAGCTATCTATCCAGAAGAGTACAGTGCTAGGAACAGCTAAGATACTGTGCAGAACCCTCAAACTCCCGGGCCTCTGGTAGAGGACCTGAGATTGAGGAAGACACATGCCACACATAGGGGTGAGAGGGGATTTTTTTTATCACTAAAAGAGGTGAAGGCATTGTTGTCTAGGGCATGTAAAGCTTCCAATAATCCAAAATGATAAATCTTCATCAAATATAGTTGTATGTTGTTTGGTGTGTCAGTTTATGCCCTTTGTTTTTTGTTGTTATTGTTGAAGTTGTATGGTTTTTTATTTTCTTATATTGGGGTTGTGGGCGCAGGTGGTATTTGATGTACCCCATCTGGAATTGCAATTATGCAAGTTGAGCAGCTATCTAAATCTTATAAATAAATAAATCCCCTTACCCATTTGGGGAGATTTTGTCTGCTTCCTTTGTTACCTCACCCCATTTTATCTACCCTATATTTTGAAATGAAAGGTACTTCGTTAAATAAAATACTTCATAAAATAAAAAGGGATCTACAAGTTGGAGAGATGGGAAAAATCTGTTGGTGCTTTCTCTTTCCAGTGCTGGCAAAACAAGTCTGTTTGTATTTTTTATAATTAAGAATCTGATTCTTAACTAATGTGCCAAGGTTCAGTTCTGAAACCATTAGGCCTCCTTATTTGCTGTGTCAGCTCTAAGCAGTACTGCACACTCTACAGAACCAATGTCAGTATTATTATTTTTTTACAGGAAAGTACTTTGTCGAACAGCCACTTTCTTCAAGTTGTCTTTCTAGGTGGATCAGGTCAGACATTGCCAAAAAAGTGCTGAGGTGCTGCTGTAATACTGTTTTATTGACGGGTTGATCCACTGGTAGGGACTCGTAATTCCTTGCAATGCCACCATCCTGTAGTGGACTGCAAATTTTTCCCTGTTTTGCAGGGTGGGAGGGGAATGATTTAGGTTTCATTTTAAAAAATGGTTCCAAGCTCCCCAGATTGCTTAGGAAATTTTTTAAGAAGTTGACTGTGGTGGTGCTATCAAGCCACTTCTCCCTATGTTTTTAAAGGTGTGTGTGTTTGTGTTCAAATCAATCATGACACCTGATGACTACATGGGCAAGTCTCTGCAGTTTTCTTGGCAACGTTTTTCAGAAATAGTTTGCCCTTGCCTTCTTCCTACAGCTGAAAGAGAGGGACTGGCCCAGAGTCACCTTTCTTTGTCCTAAGGCAGGACTAGAAGTCTCCCCATTTCTAGCCCAGTGCCTTTAACCACTACACCCAACTGGCTCTGTGCTTTTGAGTTACACTGGCATAATAAAAACATGGAGGAATGTAGTTGATTGCAATAAGAATTTTGGTTGAATCAATTTGTTTTTCCTTATATAAAGGTAGTATTTCTTTATGTTTCTCTACGTATATGGGTGTCCTTCTCTATACCTCTCCCAATACATCCTGAAGAATGGAATCTTTATTAGTGTGCCAGTCTGTACCTGTTAGTGACTAATTGGTCACAGAGTTCACACCTTTAGGGGGAGCAGGACTGCTATACCTTCTTATCTCTTTCTGCTGAAAATACAGGGTCAGCTTGTTAGAATAGCCAGTAGGGCTCAGTTCCACTTCCTCCTTTGAGACTTGAACCCCTATTGTCACATTTATCCGCAGGGTCTATCATTGTACCTTAGTTTCTATCATTGTTCTCTCATCCCTTTCATAATGAGTTAGAAACAAATGATAGAAAGTCACTTTATAGTGCCATATGCTTTAACACCTTATTGTGATTCCTTCCGTATGTGTTGTATGAACTGAGCTGTTGTGTTGACTTTCTACTTTTTACTTATCGCTCCTAGTGTTTCGTTTGAATGCATGTGCACACATATGCCTACAGGATTTTCTTGTTTGCAGTTTTGTTTTTAAATGTTCATTGATAAGAACATTTTTATGGAGTACTCACAAATCTCATAAATGTGTATTTACACATTTCATCCTAGGACACTGCCCATCCTTCCTTGCATTAAACAAGCAATGCAGTGCTTGTAACCAATATAATTTTTGGTTTTATGAAGTATCTCGCAATACAGGGTTAGAAATTGTTAGTCTGCCAAATACAAAGCAAAGATTTACAACAGGCCACCCTTGCCTGCCTGATGATGAGGAAGGTACAAAAAGTAGAGGGTTAGGCCATGTTCTAGGAATATTAACTTTTTAAAAAAGCTAATATATGCTTCTTTTCCTCTTTTTTTTTTTTTTTTCTTCTTCTCTTTCTGGGTAGTCTATCATGTGTTTAGGCTTGTGGAATTGGAACTAGTTACATGAAGAAGCAGAAGTCATAGGGGAGAAGAAGGAGAGAAGGACCTGTTATGTTATGCCAGCTTGCACCGGATCATTCATAAACTACCCAGTTTCTTCCTCAGAAATGTGATGACTTAAATTGTGTTTTTCAGGGATTGGCTACACGTTTTCAGCCCTCCTATCATTCCTCCTAGCCAACAGGTGGCAGAATATACCAAAGTTTCAGCAAACCTAAGTACCCAAGGTAAGAATGAATGGAAACAATGTCCCCTCTTGCCATGGAAATCAAGTGAGAGCAAAAGGACACTAGAAACTGCAGCAACTCCTCCACTTGCCAGGAAGTGTACAAATTCTGCCTTCCCAAAAAGCTGAGTTAATTCTTCTTTCAGCATTCCTACACAGGGACCCACCACCACCACCTGTTCTATCCTGGCATATTACACCCAGCGAGGAGGACAGTTGTGCTGCCTGTTTCTTATAAAAGGGCATAATGAAACAATTCTGCAATGGATAAAATCATGAACTGACAGCATTTGTCTAAAAATTTCATCTCTTTTCTCCTCCCTCATCTTTACCGCCCTACAACCCACCAAGGATTCCTGTCATTTTCAAGATACCATATGAGAACTTACTATATATTTGCAATCTGCAAATATGTGGAGGAAGGGGCATCCATTAAATCTAAATGTCCGTAAACAAATTTATATAATCCACAAAAATTAATGTATTTTACATGCAATTCATATATTAGGTAATTTATGAAAAAAACATGCATGTTTTATGTTATTTATGTAAATTGTCCAGATTGCTTCAACATAGAGCAGGCTCTTCCATAATTGTGGGGCAAAGTCTGAAGTCAATTTTTTTTCCATTGAATCAGATGTTTGCTGAATAGGTCTCCATAAAATCAAGATTTGACTGTATTTTAGTTATGGTAGGAGTGAAGGCAATCTAGTGATGGATTCCTTAACACAAATTATGCTCTCTAAACAGGGAGTTTTTTCAGAAACATATAAATTTGCAATATTTTATGACAGCAGAATAACTATCAAGACCAGACATTACTTTCAGAAATCTGACAGCACATAATGTTAAAGATCCTAAACATGCCACTTTAAATATCATTGTAATTTTTTACTTAAACATACATTAGATAAATATTTCAGATAGGGAATTGAGAAAATTTTAATAATTAAAATTCCATTTCTTCTGAAGCTCTGCTGCAATTTTCAGAAATCGTAACAGTCAAGAAGTTTGCATGGAAGATTCCATTCAACTATTCCACATTAAAAAGTGACAATATAACATGAGTTTGGCAATTTATGTTTTCCCTTTGAAAATATTTTATCTCTAGTTTCTATTTTTTAATGTATCTAATGTTAATCAAAAATACAATATCATACAATACAATACAAAAATACAAAATCATGGATGGGCAAAAACTATATTGGACAGAACCATGAATGTCTGCAGAGGGGTTAAGCAGGGTAGAGGGTGTGCAATGACAAAACATACATTGCAGTGTTGTGATACAAACTTGGTCCCTTCTGAAAATGCGTGACATCACACGTATGTAAGGGGCAGGATCTTGTGTTACAACATCGCAACATACTAGGTTTCATCACTTTGATAAATTTAAGGTGCTGTTACTAATCTCTAAAGCCCTTCATGGTTTTGTATCTGGGCATCTGAAGGACTTTCTGCTCCATCTGGAATCAACCTGACGCACTAGATCTTTTAGGGAGAAACTTTTTCCCACACTTCCAAGAGGGGGGCAGAAACTAGAATATGCTGCCTTTTCTTTGGCGAAGCTGATGATTTGGAATATCCTTCTGATGGAGATTAAGCTGGTCCCTTCCTTGTTGACCTTCAAGAAGATATTAAAAATGGAGGTATTTGGAGGGCATACTCCTAATTTAAGAACTGCACCATCTTTTATTTCTTGTATACCTTTATTTTTATTTTTTCATTTGTTGTTACTGTTTTTTCTGGGGTTTTATGATGTTATCTTTTAGTCATTGTATTTTTTAAAAAGAAGTGTTATATGCTATGGAAGCCGTTGAGAGTTGTTAGTGTAAGGCAGGGTAGAAATCTAATCAATTAATACATTCAGCAGACATCTCTGGATAGAACTGCAAGTGATTTCTATTAGATCAGCAGGAATTTCTGACAGTCAATTGACTTTTTCCCATCCTGAATAATGCAGCTGAAATGTTTTATATAAGGGGCAGGGAGTAAAGTGCAGATTTTTATGTGGAAGCACCATGATCTTTTAGTCCAAAGGCAATTTTGTGTCTCCTAACTAGAAAATCTCATTTTGACCTGGACCAATAATGCTTTCCAGGAACGCTTGGGGATTACAGCCACCAGAGAAGCAGTGCTTCAAACCACAGCTGCTAGCTAAGAGTGTGATACCTCCTGAATCACAGATAGATAAAAGTTTGAAAATAACAAAATCAAGTTATCAGCCAAGAAAACCCATGGTTATTTACTACTGGTACAGATATCCCTGTCGATTTTTATATGCTTCTCTAATGAAACCTGAAACAACCAGTTTTGTTCATTGCTAATAAAAGAGCTCTGTGGTATCTTTTATTTGGAACATAATTCATTGTGAATATACAAAAGACCTAGTTTTTCTCCATTTTATAGTTTCTTGGTTGTTCTCCATTTTATAGTTTCTTGGTTGTTCTCCATTTTATAGTTTCTTGGTTGTTCTCCATTTTATAGTTTCTTGGTTGTTTGTGAAGTATTTGCTTCTTCAGAAATAGATCTTTTAAGCCTTGAAGGAATGCAATGATTGGGGGAAAATGAATAATGCTTCCTTTTAAAAACAAATCCCCTTTTCAAATGACTGCCATGTTCCTTTAGTTTTATTTCATACCAAGGAGCTGTCTTTCTCAAACAGAACCCCGAAATCCACTTAGTCAGGTTTTTTTCTGAAGCAAATGCCACTCTAATACTTCTGAGTTTGTATCAGTGGAGTCAGTAGTCATCTCCTTAACCATCTGCCATTTGCTCCTGTAATGTAATATCCAAATATAGCCTACCTTTGTAAGATTTTGCTCCTTAGGCTGCAGTTCAGTCATTCCTTTCCTGAATATTATTATTATTATTATTATTATTATTATTATTAT